CGAATGAGTAAAATGCAACCCATTTTGTAGTGATTTGGAAGGAAAAAAGTAAGTCATGGACCTTCATAGATTTGGAAGGAAAAAAAAATAAAACTAATACATGCATTCCAACACAGCACACAAGACTGGCCGTAATGAACAATATTCTAACGACACTGCCAAAAGTCTTTTGACTATCTAGCCCTGTCCAAGCCTTGGAAGTCTTTTAGGTAGCTTTCTCATAGTCTTCAGTCTTCTCTTTTCATCTATCCTTGGAAGAATCCTTTATCAAAAGGCATCCATAACTTCTACAGTCAACATTAAAAGACAACTAAAAATAAATAAGCTTGTTTCCATGACAACAAGACTGTTATTGTTTCGATATGTACTTGAGCAAATTTTAAGCACAACCCTAGCGTATATTCTGTTGATTTCCTGTATTTAAAAGACAAGAACAGTTTCAAACAACACGCGACAAACACCCTGCAACTTACATGAGCTGGCAAATTTCCCGCTACAAAAGAGCGACTGTAGACCTTTGACAAGTCTCCTCTGAGGCTGAGTGCATCCGGCACACCAACCAAACCCTGGGTAGGCTGGGATGTGACCACCACCTCACCTCCACCTTTAGGAAAGTAGCCCCTAGAATAAATTGTTAAAAATTCATAAATACATTAATTTATTCATTAATCATTCATGGCCCACCTATACATGAATTAAGCATATGAAGTCACTCAAACCCTACACTTCTAACATCATCATTGCAAAAGACCTTCCACAACTTAAGATAAGATACATCTTTATTGTCCAGATCCTGGTACATTGGTTTGGTATTTAACCAAGTACACACACACACGCACATACACACACGCGCATGCGCATCACACACACACACACAAACATACACAGGTACACATACGCACTGGTTTGGTGTTTAACCAAGTACACACACACATGCACATACACACACGCGCATCACACACACACACACAAACATACACAGGTACGCATACGCACGCACATGTGCACACCCATATACACACACACTCTTCCCTCACACATACTCTCTACCACACACATCTGTGCACATAACCATTATAATATAATAGTACGCTTGCACTCACAAACAGGCTTACAGCATAATATAAAAGAACAGTAATATAAACAAAAATAATGTTAAACTAGATATGTATTCAGTATTCTGATTGCAACTCAATGGTATTCTGACGCATGTTCTAAAGTCATTTGAATACTTATAACAAGATATTAAGATGGAAGAAGTTTGATGGATAGCAGAATCAACACAGAGTGAAGTGAACACACCCGGTCGCACTGAGTAGCGCCCACACTCCAAGTAGCACCCACACTTGGCCATCATTCTCACAAAAGAATGAAAGCCTTGTTTGGTCTTTTACAAGTCAATTCTGTGAGCAGCAGAAAAATCAATGACTTTATGTGGGTGGACATTATTTGCCTTCATGATAACCAATTAAAAACAGTTGGGATTGAAAGAAAAAGGCGACTCATATAGTATGAAATGAAGTGAGTCACTTTTCTAGGTGCCAAAACAAGCAATCCTACAAAAGTCAAAGTCTACGTAGCATAAACTCACTAGACGTTTCTCATTAAAAACACGGGATAGCCCATCAATTCTGTGAGACGGTTCCAGTGCCTTACGTTAAATCCTCAGAATCTTCTGGCCCGACAAGTTATCCAACGCAGATCTGTTACGTAAATGTAGGCAAGAGGACATGACAACCATAATAAAAAGGAGAAGGTGGAGATGGATTGGACATGTTCTGAGAAGAGGACCAGACTCTATTGTGAAGCCTGCCCTCACTGGACACCCGAAGGACGTCGCAAAAGGGGCAGACCCAAAGTGACCTGGAGACGCACAGTAGAGTCTGAAATGAAGTCCTGGAATCATTCGTGGGGAACGCTGACCAAGATGGCCCAAAACAGACAGAGCTGGAGATCCTTTGTTGCTGCCCTAAACGCCAGATGGCGTAATGGGTAGTAACTAAGTAACCATTTTTAATTAGGTGATTGCTAAAACTGTTTGTGTTGTAAATTGCAGTGATTGTCTATATGGTGTCTCTTATATTCTTATTCCTAATCTTTTTAAACATTGAATTTCATACCTTTTAAAAAAAATCAAGACAAATAATCCAACAGAGATAGACGCTTGTACTTTGAAATTTTATTGTTCTCGTGTTGTTTTTCATTGTGTCAAAATGGCATTCCAGTTGGTTAAATGGCTCAGATTTTATACAATTTTGAAAAAACCCAAAAACCTTCAGTCTATGGTGCTTGTACATAGTAAAATTCTTCAGTCTTCTTCTTCTTCTTCTCGATCGTATCACACTTTAAGTCTGGTATCTGTCGTAAATTGGGCCATCCTGCTCAGTTCATCTGTCGGCCCGTATAGCTTCTCTTGTAGCGTCAGTGGGGTTGGCTACATTTCCTGTCTCAGGGTCCTGTGTGTCTTG